ATGTATTTTTTATTTTTATTTTTAAATACAGTTCATCACTGGTCAGAATAGACGTCATTGTTGCCTCTTGTTCTTAAAGACCTTTGCAAAACAATGTCTCAGTTTGTGTAAAATATGTCCGTGCTCAATAGACTTCAGTGCATCATATGTTCAAGTTTTTCCAGTTCATTCCTATCGAGTCTGTCTGAAGCATCTTGCACAGAAGCAAAAAAATGCTGTGTTGGGTTCAATGCAACAGGCTCCACCAAGAATTGCTTGTTTTGCTTTGCCCGTCATCCTTCCTGAGCGCTGTCAGTTTCCTCATCTCTCAAGGCGATGTATCTGGAGAAGTTTGGTTCTGGAATGGTCTAATTGGTCTATGCATATAGGGCATTGCCACAAAGGTGAAAATGCCTACCAGCATTAAAGCCACAGTGATTGTGATGATGGCTGCAACAACGGCATAATAGCACTGATTGGAATTCATTATCCTTCTCATGCGACCCCTCATCCTGCTTGGCGGCCTTCCCACATCGATCATAGTCGCCTGGCCAAGACCTTCCTCCATGACTCCAAGCGGGTTACTGCCGGCCTGCTCCTCTTTCTTCTTCAACACCGGCAAATTTAAGGAGGTCTTAATGGAGCTGTTTGGTGGAGAATTCTTGAGAATGAGTTTGCCCTTGCTGCGTTTAAATCGCACAGAAAGCGCCCGTTGCATCTCAGCCGGAAGTTTGCGGAAGATGTCTTTGTTATTTCCCAACTGTGGTAGATCTCGGCCGTGTCGGATTTCTGTCAGCTCCCGACAGATCGGACAAGACAACGTCTTGATCTCTGGAGAATTCACGTTGATGCGTGCCAGGCATTCCAAGCAGAACGTGTGTCCGCAGGAGAGTAACTTTGGAGCTTTGAAGACGTTGTCGAAGCTGCAGAAGCACACAATGCACTCTGTGTCCTGCAGGTCATCTCTGGGTTGCTCGGTCTTGTGGTGTCCAGGCTCAGGGTCGCGGTCTCGCCTCCTTCCCTCCTCGCTGCGACCCCGTTGTTGCCTTCCTCCCTCTTTCTGGCCCCGTTCTCTACCTCGGCTACTTTCTTGACGCCGGTTTTCCGCATCATTGCTGCGGCTTCTCCTAAGAGGCTTCTGTTTCTGTCGTTGCTCTGAAGTTCCCAGGTTGAAGCTGCCCTTGCTGTCAAGCTTCGGCTTGACGTTGGGCCCTTTTTTGCTGCCCTGGGGTTTCTCTTTGCCGTCGCTCATCATGTTGAGCCTTAGATTCACAGGAGCAGATTAAGAGAAAAAGGTAATGTTGAGCAGATAAGTCTGTGAGGGAAGATGGAGAAAACACTATCAGTCTAGGTTACAAATACACTCCATATCATGCTTTAGAAGAACCATTTTGGGTTCCCAAAAAACCTTTCAGTTTTTTAGTGTGAAGAACATGTAATAATCCGAAGAACCTTTAGTGCAATGGAAAGGTTTCATGGATGTTAAAGGGGTCATATGATGCGATTTCAAGTTTTCCTTTCTAGTATTTGAAAAAATAATGTGTTTTTTGAACATTAAAGCATGTCAACATATTCTGTTACACCAAATACACAAAATAATGATCTTTAAAAAAGCATCATATGACCCCTTTAAAGGATTTTCATGGAACCATTGATGCCAATAAAGAACCTTTATTGAACAGTTCTTAAAAGAACTAATCTAAAGGGCCCTTTTACACAATGAAGAACCTTTTGTGCAATGGAAAGTTTCCATGGATGTTAAAGGCTCTTCATAGAACCATAGATGTCAATAAAGAACCTTGTACAATCAATGGTATTCAAAACAGTCACATGATTTCATTACGGGTCTGGAACAGATTTAAACTTCTGTGACTTAAAAGTGTGGCATGACCTTTAAGAGCTTGTGTATTTAACACTCTGGAGTTACATACAGCTATGTAACTCTAGAGTGGAGACTGTAAACTAAATTGTACCATTAGCAGTCAAGTGTGACGAGAACAGCAGTTTAGTCAGTCATACACTAGTGGTTATTGCTTGTTTTTCTTTTTATTCCATTATAGGCCTTGCATGGCTCTAAGTTTGCCCCAACGGTCATCTTTTATATTTGAAATCGTTAACCCAGGGTTATTCTTAACCCTATCAAGCCTACTGTGTCATATGTGATACGCAAATGCCTGAAAAAACTGTTTTGTACAATCTACTAATAGTTTCTATTTTTAACAATGTTGTATCAAATGTGATGCTCAACAAAAACACACATGCAAATGTTTTTTTTTTAGATTTTTATATTTTGTCTAAAGTTTTAACAATCTCTTCTATTTCAAAGAAATAGATTTGTCTGACTATTATATCATATGCAGGGTTAACATAATTTTGAGTTATCTTGTTCCATGTTTTACACTGTTCATAAGTAATCTTGGGTTTGGAATTAACACACTGTAGATTTGTAAACATCAGGCTACTGTTCTTATTTGCATGTTTATGAGGTTGATCACACTGAATGAACATGAACTGAGTGCACAACCTGTGGGAATTTTGCCTGGTCAATTCGCACTTAAATTACAAAAATAATACTCATGACATTTTTAACTTCTTCATATGCTGAAACTACATGCTGCATGTGAAAGTTTCTGTTACTGTGCAAAGTGCATGCATATTATGAGGTAGTTTGTAATCACCTGTTGCTAAACAGCATGCTTATCCATTTTAGCACTATATTGTTTCAGTGCTAACTAACTGCCTTTCAAATTTACAGATCAACCCAGAATTAGTTTGAAAATCCCAATAGAGTGTTTGACCTAAACTCTGAAGTCTGACTGTACAGGAATGCAAACCAGAATATCAAGGTTTTACAACAGGGTATTTCATTCTGTATGCTTATCGTTAAGCTTTAACTCTGAGTCAGGTCATGAAAGTCACGAAATAGGAATGTCTAATAGCAAACAAGTATGATTATTGAATATGACTTGTAATATAAGTAAAATATAGGTTCAATTTAGTTATTTTGGAATCAAATAGTCCAAAATGTAAAGGTTTTACCCACTGGCCATTTAAAGCACAGTCTGCTTTTATCAAAACATTAATTTTCAGGTGCATCAACTAATTGAGCCACTCACAGAACAGGTTCTTTTTCAGAACATGTTGGTATAATTAATATATTTTGGACTAAATGACTTCCCAAATTAAAGGCACACACCCACATATTTAGCACAAACCAGATAAAGTCAGTTGAGACCTGTCACTAATTTAGACAGTAACACACCCTACATTTACAGGCGACACCGGGGCTAGTTGTCACACTGAAGGTTTGTTTTTGAAAGTCAATTTCTTTTAAGAACACAACTTAAAGAAAAAAGTCTTTGCCACTATAATTTCCCAAAAATAATCAGAGAAGATATAATTAATTGAACACACCAATAGCAGGGCATGTTTTCACATTGAAATAATAGAATTAAGCAGCCTATGAAAAGCTTTTTAAACAGGAAAAAAATTATGAAACACATTACAATGAAAAACGTGACAATATATGCAAACAAATATGATTTTGGAATTTTAGTTTGTAGGACAGAATTCTCAAAAATGATTCAAATTCAATAGGGTGTTTGACACCAACTTACAAAACAACTACCAGAGAGCATATTTTTGTAACTGGACTCAAAGTTGACTCAAAAATGTTTTAAATATAGCCATGTGACATCTACTCCCCCCCCCGAACGTTTTTTTTTTTACCTGCATTTGTAAACTGACTAATTATTACTCTACATTTGCATACTGACTAATACTGACTAATCATTTAAGATCACATCCTTCAATATGAAAAGTGGTTCTTTTAAAGTTAAAAAATGTTTAAAAACATGCAACTACCTATGAGCTGAAGAGCAGCTGAACCCAGATGGTCACGTGCCTCTGAAGTTCGCCTGGCTCCAGAAGCACATATTCCAGTCTAGGTGTGCATTCACCAAAGCAGCGTGAGAGGTGTGCAATCCAGTCCTTTCTGTCGTCCTCAGTCCTTTCACTAAGGTTGTCATCATCTGTTAGATAACGTAAGCAACGTGCCTCCACCTCTTTGCATATCCCTCCCTCTTTCCTTTGACCCTGTCATACCTGTTGAACTCGCTCAGGTGCTATTTGAACCGGCTTGCGTTTGAATGCGAGGAATCCACTGACCTGTGTTTTATTTTTTCGACATCTCTGCTGACCTTGAATGAAACGGAATCAAACAAGTGTGGATATCAATGCCCTAAATATCTATGCGAGTCATGTTTGATCATGCAAAATCCACAGACATGATGCAAGGGCTGCAGCCGGGATGTTGCTAGGGTACACAGAGTCGTTGCTAGGTGGTTAGTTACTAATCCAAGTCAAAAGAGACCACCAAATTCTCCTTAACAACACATAATTATGTTTCCTCATTTAACACAACTACACGTGCATTTGGGATGAGAGTCGTGTTGGTTGTTTGAAGATATTCCTGTTGTAATGGAGACAAATTCCATAACAAATGACAAGTCCACGTTTTTCCTACTCCAGTAACTGGAAATATTCACCATAGATGGGAACAATAAGGACGTTTATGAAGATCTTAGGAAGTCGATGATAAATTAAGTCACTAGGTTAATGTTATTCTCTCTCACACACACACACTGCCTGATAAGTGAGAAGGTAGCACTCTCCCATTCCAGCATATGAAAATTTTATGTGTATTGATGATAAGGGCTTATACCTTTTGTTGTGTTGTAAATTACTTTATACCCGTCATACCTGTACCTTTATCTTGTATTAAGAGTTGTTGTGAACAACTTGAAGCCCGTTTCTTCCATGGAATAAAAAAATAAAAAGGTAACTGCAACTTTTTAATCACACAATTTTGACTTTTCTTGCAACTCTCAGAAAAAGTCACAATTGCTAGATAAACAGAATTGTGAGATATAAATTCAGAATTGTGAGAAACTCGCCACTCCAAGAAAAGTCTGTATGTAAAAGACATTTTCTCAAGATATCAGGTCAGTTCACATATGTGAGACAGTACAGCGGAATTAAAAAAAAAAAAAACATTCAAAAAGACTGAACATGGAATTTGAAAAACCCTTCAAAAAGAACACAAAATGGAATGCAGAATCTGAATGTAAAGAAGGTAAAACAGCACGATTTACACAGAACAAAGATTTTTTTCTTATTCCACTACTGTTTTTCAATTGTTTTTCTGTATGCACTACACGGACGTGTTCGTTTCTTTTTTTAAGTTTTAAGCTCAACTTTTTAAAAATGCACATCTTTTTTTTTTTAATACCATCATATTACTGTCTCGTATTTAATTGCAAAATGCATTCTCTGTGAATCACACTTAAGTCATGGCCTAGTTTACATCCAAAAACTTGATTAAAATCTGGTGTTATTTTGGATCACATAGTCATAAACGAAATTAATATAAACAAATGTGACCATATAATATTGTGGCAATCATTCAAATGAATTTCTGGTTAAGGAAAAACATTTCTATTGACAATTAGTTTTACAACATTAGCTACTCATTGACCAATGGCTAATTTCAGCTGTCCTTTCTGTTCATCTGGGCGCTTTAGGGGGAAACTACAAATGACTGGAAACGACCAATCATTGACTGCTGGCTATATATTAAACTATCTGAACTTTTCAAGGGACAGAATTGTTTTTTTTTAGTAAAAAATAAAAACAGCTCTCGGGATTGAGATGATATATCCACACTTGAATATTCGAACAAACTGCAGGGTATGCCCGTTGTAACACATTAACATTTCTGTATTAATAAATACATTTTATTGCACAATCCTGTCCTTTTATATTGATGTATCAATCAACGGTAAACATTGCCTTTGTCTGTGAAATTTATCCATATTACTATCCCTATTTTGAAGTATGACCATTTCCTCCTGGTTCTCTTTCCTAAACATCATGTATTTTAGACGATTACCTGAGGCGCAGGTTTAGCATAACATATCACTGAAAACATCTTCTCTGTGTATTTATGAAAACACTGTTGTCTTAATTACCAACAACAGCATGACCTTTGATAACATCCTTATTTTGATCCACATCTCTTTAAATAGTTTCAGAGTTCATATCAAATGTATGTATATATATATATATAATAAAAACACCACGTGTATACTTGTAATCAAAAATATATTTCCTCATTCAAACACATGAAAACAACTTCAGCTGAAACATAAAAATTAGGAGTCTCCAAAACACTTTACACAGATACATCGAGATGGTCCTCACTGCAGAACACAAGATCCAGGGGGCGAGGTTGGATCCAGATCTAACTCCTCCCACCTTACATATACCTAAACCTACCCGTCTCCACCCCCTGATCCCTAAACCCACCCATCTCCACCCCTAAAACTACCATCTCTACCCCCTAAATGTGGATCCAACCCCGCCCCCTGGATCTTTGTTCTGCAGTGAGGGGCTACTGGATACATCTGATAATTTCCCATTGAACACTGATGGAGCTTCTCAGATCGCTGATCTCCTGTCTGTAGAAATATTGGCTGGAAGAGTCTCTTCCTCGTCTGATCTCAGGATCAGCCCAGCTCTTCACGGGCTTTGCCTTGTTTGCGGGGCATCTTCTTACTGCTGCTGTCCTCCAGTTCTTTGTTCTTGTAATAATGAGGAGCCACTTCCAACAGCCAGCCACTTTCAATCTCGATCACCTGAAAAACAGATAGAACATTTAGAATAAAGCATATTTTTACATTTTCTGAAGAAATATTAAGTGCTTGCCCATGCGAAACTTGCTGACAAGACTGTAGGGTAGTTTTGGTTGTTGCCAAATCATTACTATGAGGTTTCTAAGGTGCTAGGAGTGGATTTTAGTATGTTACTATGTGGATGATAAGTTGTTGCTTACAGACTCAAGTAAAAAAGAACCAGTCTGTTCCAATGCCTAACCTCAAAGGGATCATTCACCCAAAAATGAAAATTCTGTCATTAATTACTCACGTGAACACACGTCGAAGACTGACACGAAAGCGAAGAAATCGTTGAATAAAGTCATCATTTTTGTTTTCTTTGCGCACAAAAAGTATTCCCGTAGCTTCATAAAATTACGGTTGAAACACTGATGTCACATGGACTATTTTAATGATGTTCTTGCTACCTTTCTGGGCCTTGAGCGTGGTAGTTGTGTTACTGTCTATGCAGGGTCAGAAAGCTCTCTGATTTCATCAAAAATATCTTAATTTGTGTTCCGAAGATGAACGAAGGTCTTTGGAACGACATGAGGGTGAGTAATTAATGACAGAATTTTCATTTTTGGGTGTACTATCCCTTTAATATCCACCAAAAGATGAAAACTCTGTCATCATTTATTCAACCTCATGTCATTCCAAACCTGTACGATTTTCTTTTTACTGTGGAACACAAAAGAAGATATTTTGAGGAATGCTGGTAACCAAAACATTTCAGGTCCCATTGACTTCCATATTATTTTTTGGTGCATATTGTCAATGGGTGTCGATGGGAAACAAAACAATTTGGTTACCAACATTCTTCGAAATATATTATTCTGTTCCAAAAAGAAAATAATGACATGAAGGTTAGTAAATAATAGCAGAATTGACATTTTTGGGTGGACTACCCCTTTAATATGATGCTTGGATGCGAAAACATTAGTGATAGACTAAAAAGACAGTGAATGGCGACTCCATACCTGTCTCATGAACTCTTTGGTGGTGAAGACCAGCTCGTGGTAGATCATCCAACGTGGCTGTTCCTCGAAGAGTGAGCTGTTGGGATGGACGAAAACAGTCTGCTGGTGTTTGACTGTTTTATATCCCCCTTTACTCAAGCGTGCCGTGTGGTAGAAATATCCCGCAGTCACCGCCTGGAAGAAAATGAAAGAAAATCACATTTAGATCATAAGCTGGTGAAGTTGTACTATAATGTATTGATATTTCTTTTCTACACATCTCTAGAAATACTTGGTTTCAATTAGACAGTAGTGGCATTGAGTGAAATATTTTTCATAATGATCACTAAACTACATAACTGACTGATTAAATTTTGCAATAATTCAATTGCTGCTGAAATCTGACAAAAAATAGGATGTGTGCACTTTTACTCATACCACAAATTATTCTTAGTCACCTAACCTGGATTCATCAATGCCAAATACCTTTAAATATACAAAAGCATCTGGTAAAATGTAGCAACACACAGTCAGTAAATATGTAAGTATTCAGTTATTGTGTTGGTCTGAACGTTGAAATACTCTGATGTGAAAAATCACATTGTCTTTTAAATACTGATGATTCATAGTGACGCTAGTCTCTCACAGAACAGGAAGTACTAAAAACCACACATGAGAGACACATATTTACTCTTGAAAGGTGATTTCGTTAAGTTTGTTTGAATGTTCCCTGTTCAATATTCTTCCCTCACAAAAAAGCATTGTAACCTGGATTGAAAAAACATGTTAACCTTGGGTTAAGCGCAATGTGAAAAGCCCTAACGAGACAAGCAAGCACTTACCTTAATAGTAAAAATGCAAATTGTGCCACAAATTCTACTTCAGTGTTTTAAGCCGATAAGGGCCACAAGTAAGAGCGTCTTAAAACTTTAAAGTTAATTCAGTCTATAAAGCTAAACTCATAAAGTCGAGATAGCAATCACATGCAAAGCAGCAAGCTTCTGCACAAACACAGTATCACTGAAGGAAATATGAGAAAGAAAGTGAGGGGGAATAAGGAAATCACCTTGCGAATGGGCACACTCTCACCGCTGCAGCTGGACAGTTCCACTTCGATCCGGTCCATCAACCCCTCCAGCTGATCACGGACATCTCGAGCTCTCTTCATGGAGCGAAACTGGATGAAGTTCTCGAAGCACCACTGAGTGGAGTAACCGCTCTCTACCCACTGACAGAGAACGAGAGAAACTATTGAATGCATTTTATTTTCTGGCAAACAAAAACTGTGCATGCAACAACAAACAGCGCGAGCAGTGAAGCCTAATTCACGAACAAATTATTCATTCTTTTTACTGATTCAGTCACAAACTGATAAATATTCACACAACTCATTTGTGAGTAAGTGTTTTGCATCAGACAGTTTCTAATCGATTCCCTCAATGATTTGCAAATCATTATTTGGTTAAGTCTGACTTGAACTGAACATGGAGCAACTCCCTACCCAATGAAGAGAAAGAAAGAAGGAGAAAAACTAAGGCAGGTTAGCGTTTTAAATCAGACTCACTCAGGCAGTGAATCGTTCAGAGAATTTACAACTGACTCCATCACTGATTTGTGAATCATTACTTTGGTTATGTCTGATTAAAAGTAAACAGGGAACTACTTTACCCACTAACAGAGAAAGACACCACTGAATACTAATGAATACAATAATTGTGTCTGCTGTGCATGCAACAACAAACACATCACAAGCAGAGAAGTCTGATTCACAAATGACTATGAACTTTACTGTGATTTATACTTTAGGTTATCAGACCATTTTATAAATGGTTGTGACAATGTGCAATTAGAGATACATATTCACATTGTTTTGTTAAAACAAAACAAAAAGTATAGTTGAAAAAATTTGAATATTTTACAAAAAATACGCATAGAGGGTCCAGTCGAAAGGTTGAATTGATTGTAAGAAAACAACATTTCTGACAAAATGATGATATTGTATGGCACACATACAATCAGGATCAGTAGAGTGAAAGCATTACTGTAATGAATGTTTACTAAATACAGCCTGCTTCATAACTTAAATTGAGCACTTCTGTAATCTAGCAACCAAAAAACTTCTAAACGCTTTATTTTAGATGCCAAAAAATGCCTTTTTAATGCAGTGTTTCTGCTGTTTGAACAGTCATTCTTACAAAACATTGTTCATTCCAAAGTTATAATTGTACAAGACAAGAACTTCCTGCTACAGCATCTACACATAAACACACACGTCCGCACAGGCCTGCATAACCTGTTCAGCAATGCAACTGCTGAACATCTCCAATAGGGAAGTCAAGCAAGATGTGATAAGTATTCTGACAATAACAAATAATTTTTGTTAGCACAAGCTGGGCTGTAAAAGTACACAGAGCCTCAGACTGATTGCTGATTTGAGCGCTATTTCCAAATGCACACATAAACACACCTGTGTATATACATTGAGAAGCACAATGTGATCTCCTCCTGGTACCACGAAGTTCATTCGAGCGTTGTCGGCATGAACCACTTTGTCCTTGGGGCGGTAGAAGATGGAGTTGTTCACCGACAGCATGGCCGCTACTGTTAGAATCTCCTCAGAGCACTTATAACTGAAGGGCAGACCAATGAGCAATGGTTAAAACATCACAATAACAACTCCAGGTAAAGGGCAATGATGAGTACATCACAAAATTTGCAGTTTTGACTCACTGTTCAGAAGCCAGAATCATTTTACTCAGCATGGGGTCTACAGGAAGTTCAGCCATCCTTCGGCCGAGCTACAGTGCAAGAGGAACAAAATGAAGTCAAAACCCTGGATGAAAGAGCTAAATACTGGCATATTTCCATAAGGGATATTCATAAATGGAAAGCTGTAGTCATTTATTTCTAGTTCAATGACGGGCCCAGAACCCTTATTGACAGCCAGCTTTTTGTTGTAAACCTCTTTGTAAATGTGTTGTGAACACAACTGAGTTTACCAAAGTTTGTATTCTAATGGACCATAATTATAGGGTTGTAAAGTTTTGTTTCACACCTTAGTGAGTTCACCGAGGTGGTTAAGGGCACCCAAGGCGTAAAGCTGCTCCAGCGCCAACACCAGTGTTTCGTGAGGAGGAGGATCCATGAAATCGAAATGAATCAGGTCATTTATGCCTGACACACAGATCAGGAAAAACACGTTAGATTTTAAGCACATATTAAAATACATATTGTGTTTGATGAAGTGTGTCAGGTCTATTTATGTATGCATTAAAGTTACAGTAAAAAAATACCACACCCCAAAATTGCCATTGCTTGTCATAAGAAAAAGATTTACATAGACACTCAACACTACAACCTTAGTGGAATGGACTAAAAAGCATTTGGACACTTAAGCCATACTATCGTCCCAGTACTTTAGTACTGTACATTTAGTTCTGGAACTAAAGCGGTGCGAAAGGCCCTATTGTCTGAATATCTTTCAGAGAATTTCTCAGAACTAATTTCATATCCATCAAACTGGCATGTGGATTTGTCATGGTGAAGTCATGAAGAAAAACAGATTAATTCATTCTTACCAAGACTTTTGAGCAGCAGAACCACATTGCCCAGGTTTGTTCTCTGGATCTCAGGGATGGAGGTCTCTTCCATCTCATGTTTAAAGGCCCAGGCTGTGTACAGCCTAAAACATTTCCCAGCAGCCACTCTTCCTGCACGACCTGCTCTCTGATTGGCAGATGCCTGCATGATAACAAAACACATTATCAATCACTGCTTCAAAGCATCAGTGATAACCATCATTTTAACCTTATTAACTAAAAAAGCATAACTATTTTTTTCTTAAAAAAAAAAAATATATATATTTAATATGACTTCACTTACAATAGTGATTCAAGACTCAAATGACAATAAATAAGCTCCTGTCTCTATTTACATGTGATAATTAAAGTTCTTCTTATCCTTCTTATTATTATTGATAATAATTCATTTTATTCATTCATAATATTAATGTATTCATTGATACTGATAGTAAATCGTAATAATTATTATTGTTGCTATATATTGCTATATACTATATAATTATTAATTATATTATTATAATATAATAATGTTATTATTTTATTATGAATATTATTGATGATACTGATACTACTAATAATAATAATAATAAACAACGTGCATCATTTTATAATAATTTATTAGTACTTATAACTATTAACAATAATCAAGAAAGCAAATAATTATTGTTGCTGTTGCTATTTATATCAATTCATTATTAATGATTAATACTAACAACAACAACAATAATAAATTAATAAAACTACATTTTGTAACATTCATAAATCATACTGTATGTAAATCTAAATGACTCTAAATGTCTAACACTTTTGGGTCCACTGCACACTTTACAGATCAATGTTGCTAGAAGCTTCTCTTACTCGTGAACATGGAGTGACAATGAGAGATTCCATTCCTGTTCTTGCATTGTAGCTCTTTTGTTTGCAGAAACCTGGATCAATAACGTAGATGATGCCGTCGATGGTGAGAGACGTCTCTGCGATATTTGTGGCCACCACAACCTGTAGCCCAAAAACACCACACACAGTCACTAAAGAAATTCATATTCAGAGTTTAGCATATTTATCAAGATGATCAAACAAAATAAAGAAAAACATTTCTATAAGAATTTGCATCAGTCTGGTTTGTTTGATTTTATTTTGGATAAAAGCGTCAGCTAAGAATACATTTTCAAGTAATTATGAGTTATCTTCCACAGATTTCACCAGACATGCTGCCCCCCGCTGGACGACAAAGGGAATGGTGCTCTTACTTTGCGTGCTCCAGGCGGAGTGGGATTGAAGATCTTGGCCTGCATGTCTGAAGGCAAGTTGGCATAGATGGGCAGAACAATGAGTTCAGATATCTTCGAGCCCAGTCTCCTACATCTCTCCTGTAGAAGTTCACAGCACGCTTCAATCTCCTCCTGCAACACCAGAGGACAGTAAACGTCAATATTACCAATATAAACACACTCACACACACACATCTTTAATTAGTTAACTACATGAGGGCATACTATGGACTAATTATAAGAACTATAAACTAACCTCTAAACATTTTATATACTTTTCATTTTTAAAACGGCAAGATTAATCTTTAATGAGCCAAAAGGAACGCACGTCACACCTCTGTTCATCAATTTGCACTGGCTACCAGTAGCTGCTCGCATTGAATTCAAGGCATTAATGTTTGCCTACAAAACCACCACTGGCTCTGCACCCCTTTACCTAAATTCATTACTTCAGAGTTATGTGCTCTCTAGAAGCTTGCGTTCTGCAAGTGAACGGCGCTTTATTGTGCCATCCATCTTTATTTGACCCTCTAACTCTAGCACTTTCTATTCTATTTTAATTCTACTTTTTAATAAAAATAAAAAAAACTAACACTAGCTTTCTTTTTTTTCTATTCTATCTACTTGTTTTTCTTTGTGTGTGTGTATGTGTGTATATATATATATATATATATATATATATAAATACCTTGCTATGTGTACTGCGTTAGGCTAACCGAGACTTGTCATTTTCACATATTGTTGCTCATATTGTTTTGCTAGTTTTGATAGCTTCTATTGTCTTCATTTGTAAGTCACTTTGGATAAAAGCGTCTGCTAAATGACTAAATGTAAATAAATATCATCAACACAACTGATGATCCACAAACTGTCCCAATATACATAATACACAAATGCCAGAACATTAAATCTTTCTGGCTCATTACAGCTTTTCTATTTCGACAAACAAAGCATTTTTTTTTTTTTTCATCAGTGCATTTTATGCCTTTATGGATAAACAGTGGAAATAGACAGGAAATGGATGCAGGGTGACGCAAGCTTGTATTTAGTGTAAATGCATGCACCCTTACTGTTTTGAGCCAATAAATTTATACATTATAAAATTACAATATATTATGGTTTAAAAAATTACCCCTTACATAGCTTTAGTGCAGTTAACATGTTTGTTAGTAGCCCTGCAGCTCCAATATAATACCTCTGGCACCCTTGTTACCAATATAAACAATATATATTATAAATATATATTAAAATCTACCTGATATAAAATAAAAAAACGTTTAATAATAAAATAAACAGCTAATTTTTATTTTTTAATTTTATGTTTATTTGTATAGCGATTTTCAACACATATCGTTTCAAAGCAGCTTTGTATAAAATGCATGTTACCATCAACCAGCCAGAGGTGACTGTGTCAAAGGGAAAAATTGATAGTGACGTATTGGAAAAACTTTTTACTGCTACGTCGTGACTCAGACGCAACACAGCTACTCTTAATAGATGTATGCATTGATAGATACGGCTCATGTCCTTCCACAAAGGAAATATGAACTATAAACAGACTGCGTGCCAAGGACTGACCTGTCCTGTGAGGAAGACCAGTACGTCTCCAGCCGGCTGAGTGACATGGATCTGTAGCACTGACACAACACATGCTTCCAGGTAGTCGGCCTCCGGAGCCTGAAACAAAAGTCAAATGATATTAATAATATGCAACGTACAAATGAAGGAAAAAACAGATCAGAGAAATCACTAAACTGGATTCTTACGCCATGTCTAGTCGATAAAGCGATAATTATTTTCATGTTATGACTAATACCCGATAAATGGCTGATATTAAAATTCTATACTATTTAGACTAAATAAATAAATTAAACACTAAAACCCTTTTAAATGCTAAAAGTGAATATAGGTATCACAACATTACATGAAAATGGAATTCATTTGTTAAAGATGACATTTAACAGTGTTATTAATTTGTCCTTTTTTAATGATGAACTTTTAAGGAGCATTAGATGGTGGTGAGTTCATCTAAATATAAAAATAAACATGCACAATTAAATATACAATACATTACATTACACCCCTAATATATATGTCATCGTATGACAAAGTGAATGTCTTCTGCTTTAATCACGGTCCATTACCTTTGTGTAGTAGATATCCACGGGAAACCTACGACCTGGAATCCTAAATACTGGTGCATCATCAAAGAAGCAGGAGAAGCGCTCCGTGTCCAGAGTGGCGCTGGCCACCAGAACCTTCAGATCAGGGCGGAAACGTGCAATGTCTTTGATTAGACCGAAGAGGATGTCTGTGTGCAATGTTCGCTCGTGGGCCTCATCGATGATGATCACACTGATCACAGAAAAACAGACAATTAAAAAGCAATAATGAAAGCAATGTTGGCAGTCATATTTTAAACTGTCAAAAATATTAAATCTGTAAAGGTAAGCTTCCCTATCATACAAAATTAAAAGATCAAATATTAAAATATTAATTCTGTAAAGTAAGATTCCTTAAATTGCATAAAGAGTCAATATTAAAGGGACAGTTCACCCAAAAATGAAAATTCTGTCATTAATTACTCACCCTCATGCCGTTCCAAACCCATAAGACCTTCGTTCATCTTCGGAACACAAATTAAGATATTTTTGATGCATTCCGAGAGCTCTCTGACCCTGAGACGAATTGTTGAATAAAGTCGTTATTTTTGTTTTCTTTGTGCACAAAAAGTATTCTCGTAGCTTTATAACATTACGGTTGAACCACTGATGTCAAATGGATTATTTTAACAATCTCCTTGCTACGTTTCTGAGCCTTGCTGTCTACGGGAGGGTCAGAGAGCTGTCGGAATGCATCAAAAATATCTTAATTAGAACGAAGGTCTTACAGGTTTGGAACGATATGAGGGTGAGTAATTAAAGACAGAATTTTCATTTTTGGGTGAACTATCCCTTTAAAATATTAATCCTGTAAAATAAGTTTTTACCTGTAGCTGGCGAGGTCGGGCTCTGTAAGAAACTCTCTGAGTAACATGCCGTCAGTCATGTACTTCAGGATAGTGCGTTCTGACGTACAGTCTTCAAAACGGATGCTGTAGCCCACCTGCGGAAAATATGACAACATAGCTGATCAAAAAACTACAAATCTACCACAGAGAAAAACCACAATGTTCAGGTATGCAAATACTTCACGTATGTACACAAACACAATGGCAAATCTGAAAGCTCATCATATATAAAATCCCACATTTAGTAAGCAGATGGATTATGACCTCATTTCCTAATTTGACACTCATTTCCTGTGCGACTCTGGCTGCTACAGACATGGCCGCCACTCTTCGAGGTTGAGTACAGCCAATTTTCATTCCTCCATTAGTGTACCCCTGATAAAGAAAAGACAAAACAATAAAGAAATGCAACTTTTTTTAAATGTTTCTGAGCACGAAAAAATGGTAAATGTAATGGAAATATAGCTAATGTGAACTATTAATGCTCACACATCAAACTTTAAAAAAAGAGGCCCTGCGTGTTCCTGATAATTTATATTCTTGAGTGAAGAAAGGCACATGAACCAGTATTGGATCCACAAAAATCCTAAAACTATCTGCCAATAAATATTTTTTTTATTACAAGTACGTACATCTTCCAGGAGATACTGAGGGATCTGGGTGGTCTTGCCAGATCCGGTTTCACCCTCTATGACCAAGATCTGGTGGTCTCTGATGGCAGCGAGAAGATCTTGTCTGTAAGGAAAGATGGGAAGACTGCGTCTCACTTCCTGGAGGGATTGCTTCTGCTTCTCAGCTTGTGATAACTCAGGTTCACTTTCCTGAAGAAAATAAGAAGATACAATATTGTTATTACTTCTTGTATTAAAGACATGGAATTATAATGTGTGTAAAATATAATTCAGTGATGTTAACCATTTCTGACAGTGATCCTTTCATAGTAATGGCCGTGCTGACGAAGTTGATCATCTCCTCTTCCTCTAAAATGAGCTGGTATTTCTCCTGCTCCTCCTTTATCCGGCGTTCCCGCTCTTCTCTGGCCCCGAACTGCAGGGTGGCAGTGGCCACTCTCGCCTCCTCCCAGCGGCCCTGCTCCCCACCTCCCTCTCTGGGAGTCTCTTCAAACTCCAGGTCCATGTCTTTCTGAGGAATGGACTGAAAGGAGGGGATAAAGAGAGGACAAGAGAAAAAAAAAACATACTTAATAATAAAGTATGTCAAATAAATTACCTCACGGTTCTTTAAAATAAAAAAATATTTGTATGAATTTCCAGTTAAACAAACATATGTGTGATATACACTACTGCTTAAAGTTAGGGGTTTGAGAAGTTGTTTTTCTTATGTTTCTCACCAAGGCTGCATTTATTTGACCAAAAATACAGTAAAAACAGTAATATTGTAAAACATTATTCCAATTTAAAATAACTGTTTTCTATTATAATAGATTTTAAAATGGAATTTATTCCTGTGATGCAAAGCTTAATTTTCAGCATCATTACTCCAGTCTTCAGTGTCACATGATCCTTCAGAAATCATTCTAATATGCTGATTTGCTGATTTAATAAAGAGAAAGTTCTAAAAGAACAGCATTTATTTGAAACCTTTTTTAACATTATAAAAGTCTTGAGTCACTTTTTTAATTGAATGCATCCCTGATGAATAAAAGCATTAATGTATTAATTACATGAAAAATGGAAACCTTGAAATTAGGTACTGGTAACTGATTTAAATATCCCAGTCCTGTCAATTTGTATTACATTATCCCATAATCCCCCTGTAGCTCATCACTTAGACCTACCTTGTTTCTTTTCTCCTCTGGCATGTAGTATCTGTTCTTTCTCTCCTCTTTTTCTTTCGCTCCAGCTTTCTTGTAGTCTTGGGCCAGGTCTCTGACCTTCCGCTTGTAATCTAAATCTTTCTTTTCCCGATCTGTGAGGTTCTGAGTGGAGAAGAGGTATTCCTCGTCCTTAATTTCAGCCTCGAGGTCATCAATCTTCTCCTGCTCTCTTTTGCTCAGATACTGCCAACGTGACTGTTTCCTTAACTCTGGAAGCTGAAGAGACCGCACTGAATGTTAACAGATATCACTGCTGCTTCATACATATTTCTAGAAACTGGAATATTGTATTAATCAGGTCAACATGTTCACATCATCAAATTTCCAATTAACAACAGAACATCCTTGTGCATGTAAGTACAATTTAAGACTTCCTCACCATTTTCTTTTGATCCTCTTCAGCCATTTTGAGTTTTTTTTGAGCTTCCTCGTAAGCCTGAGATGATGAAAACAGACAAAGCACATCATTAGCCCTCATAATTTCCTAGATCATGCTGAGATCCATCAATAAGAAACTAGTAGACATTATTTTGTTGTAGCAAGATCTTGTTTAGCATTACCTTTTTGTCATTTCTCTCAAGTATGTGTCTCGTCTTGTCTTTGTCCTTCTGTTTCACTCGTTCAGCAAATGCATCCCTCTCCTCCAGATCTTGAAGTCTCTCTCTCTCTTCCCGCTCCCATTCTTCCTCCTCCTCTTCTTTAGCAGCTTTTTTTGGCTCGCCCATGACTTTTGTACTGAAAGAGTCAAAGAACAAACAAGAGAAACCATTGAGAACAAAAGTACAATAATGAAATGGATGGTTGTCACTTTCTGATTGAATGAGCCCAATTTAAAGCCTTTCATTGAAAATGTTTTGTATTAGCCCAGGGCTTTTTCTAACTGGGGTCCGGGGACACTCATGCCCCATTCACACGGGGCGTCAGCGTCAATGCCTCTCGTTTACTTTGAATGGAATGACGTCAAGCGTTGGCGAAATGAATTGTGGGTCCGTCGGGGCCGTTGCTCGCGGAAGAAGCTGAAAACTTTTCAACTTTTCAAGCGCCAACGCAGGCGTCAGCCAATCAGATCGCCTTATGCAAATACCCTAGCGCAGATGCTAGCCAATCACGTTCATGCAACACCAGAAGACTAATGTGATTGGCTTTAACGCTGACGCCCCGTGTGAATGGGGCGACAGGGAGCCACGAGGAAGTGCTAGGGTTTGGTGTAAATATTTAGAGGAAAAAAAAAAAAAAACGTAAATGTAAAAATAAATAAATCATGAAAATCTGAATAAAAGAAATCATTTTCATTAAATACATCCAAAATAGATTAAAAATAATTAAACAAATGATCAAAACAATAAATAAATTAAATCTAATGGTACAGTACTACAATTAATAGGAAAAAAATTATCAATGTAACTTAATAGAAACTAAATATATTCCAAATATTTTTTCATTTATAATATTTTTTTTACAGTATAAATTCTTTATACAAGACACGGCTTTAAAATTTTAGAACGGGGGTCCATCACAAGAGGATATCCATATTTGGGGGTCCGCAGCATCTAAAAGATTGAAAGAATAACATAATGACCTCTTTTTGCTGTCCTCTTCACTGGACGATGGACTTTCGTCTCGTTTCTGTCTGAGGTGTTTTCTCTTCTTTCCTTTGTCCCGGTCTTTACTTTTCTTCTCTTTTCCTCTTTCTCTGGCTGTCTCTCCATCACTCTCACTGTCCTCCAGAAGAGTGTAGGTTCTGTTCTTTCTCTCCATTTCCATGACTTGTCGTTCCACCGCCCGGGCAGGTTTTTCTGCCACATGTTTTTTGGGAGCCTGAAATGGAAGGTCATATGTAAATGTATATCTTAATTTATGAATTCCATTAAACATACTGAGTGAAAACACTTACTTTGTTGTACAGCTCATGTGCAAACGCTGTGATTCTTTGATCAATATCAATGGTTCCGGTTTGCTGAAGCCGAGCCACAAAGTCCTGAGGTCCAGAAGACTTCTTCACCAGACCGATCATGAACTGGGCCACATATCGGTCACTCAAACCCAGGATGTCATGGAGCTGGTCACTAACCCACTGTTCCAGATTAGCCATTGTGACTGTGCACAAGAACACAACACATAGTGTTTTACACAAGACTGTATCAACAAAGTTTTCACCATAATATAATGTGAATCACCAGATAACACAGCAATATGAGCGCAACTGTGCGTGACCAACTCGAATTCAAAATTTCATTAAAATAAGCCGTCAAATCTTATTTAAAATGAAACTTATGTGTACAAGAAAAAATCTGTAGAAGCTCAGAGTGTTATTTTCCGATACAGAACATAGAAATTTACAGCAGGTCAACAGCGGACACTTAATTCTTTTTATTTATTGATGTACTTAGAAGATTTATGCCCATGAAATCAACCGCACCGTGTACAGTCAGATGAGTTTTATGCACATACACAATACAAACACGACTGCATCATAATTCAGAAGAAACTTCAGATTTACGTTAGTGTAGCGTCTCTTCACACGCTTTCTCCTACGAAAACATGAACGCTACTTCCGGGTCACTACGTTCTGAGCGCGACCTGTCAAAATAAAAGTCTGAGTAAAACGTTCAGGCGTGGTCTAGCAATAGACACAAACTAAGCGAGTTCATAGGTAATTGATTTGAAATTGGTCTTTAATTGGTCTGGTTTGTAGTGGTCGCCATCTGTTCTGCTAAAATGGATTTTTCCGATACAGAACATAGAAATTTACAGCAGGTCAACAGCGGACACTTAATTCTTTTTATTTATTGATGTACTTAGAAGATTTATGCCCATGAAATCAACCGCACCGTGTACAGTCAGATGAGTTTTATGCACATACACAATACAAACACGACTGCATCATAATTCAGAAGAAACTTCAGACTTACGTTAGTGTAGCGTCTCTTCACACGCTTTCTCCTACGAAAACATGAACGCTACTTCCGGGTCACTACGTTCTGAGCGCGACCTGTCAAAATAAAAGTCTGAGTAAAACGTTCAGACGTCCTCTAGCAATAGACACAAACTAAGCGAGTTCATAGGTAATTGATTTGAAATTGGTCTTTAATTGGTCTGGTTTGTAGTTGTCGCTAACTGTTCTGCTAAGATGGATTTTAATCATCCTCGTGAAAATTAAATTATCGCCCAGATTGTCAATGAAATAGACGGCGTGGTCACGTGGTACATGTTACATTTCTCAGCGCAAATCGAAATTATGATTTGTGATTACTAGATAAAAAGATTAAGATAAATGTTACTGGCTGGATTTTATTTCATGCACCAATGCTTGGAGACAACAGACTGTAACGTTTACATATTTTAGTGTAGAACTGTTTCCACTGAACCATGATATTTTAATTCTGTATCGTTTGCAGCACAAAACGAACATATATGATTCCTGTCTTCTTCTTCTTCTTTCTTGGCTTTTGCAACTTGTAATTATTGCATATCGCCACCTACTGTACATGAGTGTGTAAAGGGACTTGGCAGATACTTTACTTGGGGGGAGGGGTGATTCCTGACAAAATACAAGTCCATATTTAAAGCGTTAAGAGCACCAGATGTATCATGCTTACAATATGAATCATTATATTTTCCGGTGGACGTGTCGCATGCATTTCATATTAAAACAAATGCGTAATATAATGCCTAAAGACATAATTCATAAAAAAATTTGCTTAAAACATTTTATGTATATTTTGTAAAATCTTATGTATATTTTGTAAAGAATGTTCAAAACGATGTATTTTAGTCTAATCAGTGACGGGTAGCTTTAATAGATGTAAGTGCTCAGAAAGTTAAAAACTGTTGAGGTCTTTGTAGAAACTCTTGTATCACCGATATAACTTGCATTCAAGAAGAAAATGATATATGTAAACAATGTGAAATATTATCTTGTAGTAAAATGAAATGCTTGCATTTCTTCGATAAACCACATCATCTGGTGAAAGAGAGGAAGTGGTCGATATAAGCATCACCTCAACTGTGACAAAACATCACATGCGGAACAACTTACCAGATATAAACGTCTCGATAGAGCATCCAATCTTTTGGCAGAACGTCTTGCCACCGTTGGACTACTAGTATAATTTTGATTAAAGAAAAAATATTAGTTTTCAACTGATAGATTATTGAGAGATATTGTCGGAGTGCCTTTATGGGGGGATTGATGACTGATGGCTGCAGACCATGTGTTGTTATATGGACTATATTTCTGCTGTCCTCCGTCATGGGATACAAACCAGTAATTATTGTTCACGGGATATTAGATGGACCCAGACAGTTTGAGATTTTGGCTAAATTTATCAATCAGGTAAGATCATCTTATTTATTTATTTAACATAATTTTATTAGGCCTACATTAAATTTAAGTAAAATAACTAATGCACTTCTATTTGTATTTTTACATTATATTTTAAATCTTACATTATATTGTGAATTTAAGAAGGTGCTTTTTCTATATTTTTTAGTTTTTACATTATTAGTTTTTAACCTACATTTTTAAATAAGTAAGTTTTGGGTCAAAAACTTTGTAAAATGCAGAAAAAAGCTAATAAAAAAAAAAAATCAGTCTTAAGTTCTAAGAAACCAAATTTCGAATTGGAATAGCATACGATTTTTAAGTTGTTTCAGTTCCATCTTACAGTTCACTATATTTGGCACGTAGTTCTCCTTTTTATCAAGGATGAAACTCACCAACTTCTGTTTTCCACTGTGTTTTAGTCTCATCCAGGTACCAGTGTGACCACACTAGCCCTTTATGACTACATTGGCAGTATGAAGCCACTGTGGCAACAGGTAGATGGATTCAGAGAGGCTATCAGACCCATCATGGAGAGCACCGATGATGGTGTCCATCTCATCTGCTTCTCACAAGGTCATCTAATCTCATATCTAATAAGACATTTGTTACATATACACCATTCAAAAGTTTTTGACACAAGTCTCTTCTTCTCATCGAAGCTGCATTTATTTGATCAAAAATCCAGTGAAAAGAGTAATATTCTGAAATAATATTTCAATTTTCTATTTTAATATATTTTAAAGTGTAATTTATTCCTGTGATGGCAAAGCTGAATTTTTGATCTACTTTTGATCTGTTTAATGCATCCTTGCTAAATAAAAATATGAATTTCTTTTGGGGGAAAAAAAATCATACTGACTCCAGACTTTTGAACGGCACTGTTTTTTATATCATATTTTCAAAGGTGGATTGATATGTCGAGGAGTTCTTGCAACCCTGCCGACGCACAATGCTCACTCTCTGATATTACTGTCTTCACCACTAGCTGGCCAGTATGGAGGTCAGTCAGTCCTGTCCTCCCTACATTACACACACCGCAACATCTCTTTTCTTTAAAGAAGTGCTTGTAAGTGTTTTGTCCATGCTTTTACAGATTCGTCTTATTTGAAACATTTTTTCCCTAAATTTATCAAGTCAAGACTGTACCATTTTTGTTACACTACATGTGGACAAAGGATATCTATCTGCAACTACTGGAATGGTAAGTGGATGTGTCACAAATCAATGTTCTGTATTTCATTTGATTCACAGCACATCCTTCTCTGTCTTTTTATTCCCTCTGTAGATCCACACCAAAGAGAGAGATACTTAAAGAGCAGCATCTATCTCGCCCCACTGAATGGAGAGATAGAGCATGCCAATTCAACAGGTAATTTCAGACGACATGGCTTTTGCTAACCTGTGTTTATGTGCTGCTCAGATGACAGCTTTTGCTTGGGTTGTTTGTGCACTTTCAATTCCGTGGCCTTGAGTCGTGTTGTATGCTGCTGTTCCCTTGCAGCGTGGCGAGACAGCTTCCTGCGCATACAGACGCTGGTGCTGATCGGTGGACAAGATGACGGCGTTATTACACCATGGGAGTCAAGGTCTCTGCAAAGATTTATTTCATCACGTGATATTGAGCATCAAAAGTTTGCCAGAGTTAGAAATCATCAAAGTCTTACATGCTGGTAGAGGGTTAATGTGGTGTTTAGCAGACTGGAATGAATATGAGAAATATGTAGAGTGACGTTTGAACTTCAAAAGGCCTTATAGGATTATGTGGTGGATTTTTAGAGCATGTTTGCAATCTCTAAAACTCAGGCCCTGAATAAAACATACTCAGTCATTTCATATCTTTTTACAGTTTATCTCTTTTTTCCCCCACAGTATTTTTGGGTTTTATGACAGTAATCAAACTGTGGTTGAGATGGAAAAGCAGGATGTGAGTGGATACATTCATTCCTATAATCATTTTGTAAAACCACTTTTAATTTTATTATTATTTTGCTTAGTTCGTTAAAGGAATAGTTCAGGAAATGTACTCACTCTCAGGCAATCCATGGTGTAGATGAGTTTGTGTCTTTATCGAAACAGATTTGGAGAAATTTAGCATGATATCAATTGCTCACTAATGAATCCTGTGCAATGAATGGGTGCCGTCAGAATGAGAATCTACATGACTCCAGTCTATCAATTACTATCTTGTGAAGTAAAAAACTGTGTGTTTGTGAGAAAAAAAAGGCCGGTGTCCTGCAGAGTTTAGCTCCTACCCTAATCAAACACACCTGAACCAGCTAATCAAGCTCTTACTAGGCATGCTAGAAACTTCCCGGCAGGTGTGTTGAGGCAAGTTGGAGCTAAACTCTGCAGGACACCGGCCCTCCAGGACCGAGTTTGGACAGCCCTGATCTATAATATGCTTTCTCCAGTGAAAAAGTCGTCTTGTCTTAATCAGGAGAGAAATATGCACAGATCAAGCACCATTTCCATGCGAAAAAGTCTTGAGGATTATAAGAGTCATGTGGATTATTGTGATGTTTTTATCAGCTGTTTGGACTCTCATTCTGACGGCATCCATTCACTGCAGAGGATCGGTTAGTGAGCAAGTGATGTAATACATTTCTCCAAATCTGTTCTTATGAAGAAACAAACTCATCTACATCTTGGATGGCCTGAGGGTGGGTTTTCAGCAGATTTTCATTTTTGGGTGAACTATTCCTTTAATGCTTTAGTGGTGCAGTTTAGTTGTCCTAACCATTTTTCCACTTTCCCCAGTGGTATCTAAGAGATGCTTTTGGCTTGAAAACACTGAACTCAGAAGGAGCCGTGGTCAAGTGTGTCGTCCCTGGTGTACACCATACATCCTGGCATTCAAACCACACAGTCTACAAGAACTGCATAGACAAGTGGCTCACGTAATCTAAGGAGATGGAAAAAAGGAAACTGATCTTGTTACATGCATATGCACAATCCTCAATGTAATCATGTATCATGTAGATTATGATTGTACACTTATAATTTTTATTTTTATTTTTATTTTTGCTAACATAATGTGATACATTATTATGATTGGTTTTCGAATATATAGTTTTCTAGCCATTTTAATATGTCAAATCAGTTTGAATATTGTAAGAAAGTTATTCTGTTCTGCCACCACAGATAATGCAAGTCTAATGTTCAGTTTTAATAAATGAAATTCTAAAATAAATTATTAAATTGTTATAAAAAATGAAATGATCATTGCAAAAATGTGTTTGTCAAGGGCTAGGCTATTTCTCCAAGTTGGGCTATATATATATATATATATATATATACACATACATACATACAGTGGCCACAGAGATCTGATCTCATCATCATCCAGTCTGTCTGGAAAGACATAAAGAAACAGAACAAACTGAGACTAAATCCAGAAGAACTGTGGCAACGTCTTCAAGATGCTTCAAGAGACCTACCTGCAAAGCTACAGTAAAGTTTTAGGCACTTGTGTAAAAATGCTGTAAAATGAGGATGCTGTCAAAAATAATGTCATAAATAGATAAATGTCATAAAATTAAATCAACATTTGGTGTGACCATCCTTTGCATTTAAAGCAGCTTTTGCCCGAGGAGCACTTGCGCATAGTTTTCAGGTAGCTTTGCAGGTAGGTCTCTTTAAGACGTTGCCACAGTTCTTCTGGATTTAGTCTCAGTTTGTTCTGTTTCTTCATGTCATTCCAGACAGACTGGATGATGATGAGATCAGATCTCTGTGTGGAGCACTGGCTGTTGTGCAAACAAAAATCTTACTGGATTATTACAATTAATGGCAAAATCGAATGTTTGGACATGTAAACTGATATTTCCTGCTGACACATACAGCAAAACATAGAAATAACTGACTTAAAGCCATTTTCTTAGCTGGTGGAATTACTAGTGTTATAATAATTTATAACATACGGTATATTCCCGCATGCGCATGACTGTGCGAACAGCTGGAGTGCGCCACGCAGCTGCGTGCTGAAACAGGTATTTATGATGACGTCAGCAAGGTAGAGTGGCGCGCGGCGGCTGCCACTCCGGTTTGGACGCGCGAGAGCTTCTGCTCGAGACCTGAAGACGCTTCCTGAGCTTCGGTAAGCGACTTTATCTGTCCGTTTGTGATTGTAATGGGATATTTTTGTTTCTCGTAACTTATCAGGTCAGTTGACGGCCGTGTTAAAGAGTTGTTTGGTCTATCGTATCGTGTTTTGTACTCAGCAGGGTCAATCTGACATTCCGGGAGTCAAAAGTCAGTTTCGCGTGGGTTTATATCAGCGGCAGTTTATCGCGTTTTAAGCGCTGTGATAGTGGTTTAAAATCATTTTTGAATGAGCACACGGAGAGCAAAACAGAGTTGCTGTGATTAGTCATCGTATGGAAAGTTCTCTGCCAACGCGTCACTTATTTACATAATTTATTTGAGTTTTTAAGCTGTGCGTTAAAATAAAAGAGCCCGTGCTAGTTTTTCATAGATCTGATTGAAATATAGTCCACCAAAAAAAGAAAATTCTGTCACCATTTATTCAACTGATGTTGTTCCAGACTTGTATGGCTTGTTATATATATATATATAGTTCTAGAAGCTCCTCAGATGCCAGTATCATGCTATATAATTCTTTTTCAATGACAATTTTCGAAGAATATTGAGAATTTTTTTTAGAGATTGTTTTTATTATTGTTATTGAATTATTTATAAATATTGTACTATTGTTATTATAGGGCACCTGCTGCACCTGTTTATAATGACTACTCGAGGTAAAAGTGAAGGATGCCGGATCTGTGGGAGTGACCTGCAAGGTAACCAGCGGCGATGGCTGTATGCAGGTCAGAACAGAAAGGGGACACAACCTCAGACGCCGACAGACTTTACTTGCAAGGGAAGCTTGCCCAGATCGGCACAGAGCAGCCCATGGGGTATGACCTGCAGAGAACATGTCAGAATAAACATGAGAATAAAAAAATGCACATTTCTGCATAATTTTAATTACTGAAGCTATTAAAGTGCTGTGTATGTTTTAATATTGCATATTTGATTATAATTATGAATCTGATTTTCTTATAATTTTTTTTTATTTCTAGGCAGCACTTTATCACTCAGCTCTTCCCGTTCGCTATCGAAGTCTCGTGGTCTGCTCACCCCCACAAAAGGAATCGACCTGCTCTGTGTGCTGACACATATATTAGAGCAGCCTGTACCACGTGGGAGCGGTCAGGGGGAGTTTGTATGTGGCAAGTGTGTGTCCGTTGTGGAACGAGTTTTCAAGTTTGACACTGTCATCGCCCGAGTCCGAGTGCTGTCGAGCGAGAGACTCCAGAAACTCACTCAGGAACGGGACAAGATCAGGCGATGGATGCGAAGCATGTACGATCAGCGCCACCCGTCTACCTCCAGGAGAAACGGAAGTTCCAGTGAGGATGAAGGGGAGCGGAAGGATTCCGTAGGGGAAGGATACCGAGAAATGCTGAGGGACAACATGGCCCTCTCGGAGTATGAATGGTGGTCTGAGAAAGCTGAGTCGTGTCCGTATTATAGGAGAACAGGGAAACGGTGTCAGAAAGGCAAGATGTGTGAGTGTTGCGACTCCTTGAGGGTGTCCGACTCGGACTACGAGTCTGTTTGTGGGATTCCACGTCACTTACCCGATCAAGCCTTCACGTCATTGGGGCTCTCTCGAGAAAAATCCTGCAGCATGCCTCTCCATTGGTCGAAAGTGCCATCTGTCAGATCCAGCCCCGCCTCACTGTCTGGTTCCTGTCATTCTTTGCGATCTCGATCCCGCACTACCTCCGTTCAGTCGCTGGACTCTTTAGACGGCAACGATCCGTTTGATTGGCCAGAAGATCATTCGGCCATTATAGACACCGTTTTCAAAGAGTTAAGGAGAATTGAAGGAAAGCCAGTGAGGTCACCTGCTGGAAGTCGCATTCCTGTGTTGCACAGAGGGGACGTGCAGAATGGGAAGGATGAGGTGGGTCTGAAAGCGGGGTTAGTAAGGGTCCTGAAGTTTGGAGAGGGTGACAACGGGATGGAGGATGAGTTTGAAAAAGAAAACGATGACATCCTGACCGAGCTAAAAGATGACTTTATGCCATTGCAAAGAGAGGTAAGGACTGTCAGACTGTTTTAGATGTTTCACCCTGTTTTTCAAACTTTTTAGTTCATTTTTATCTCTCTTTTTAGGCATCCGCAGGTAGGGTGCATCATGCTGTGAAGCAGTTGCGTGAACAACTCGTTCAAGCTCAGGCTCGCATCAGAACTCTGGAAGCACAGCTCAGGGACACCAACAAACCAACAACCGATGCTCCTGCCAAGAAGTTGAAGTCTCCGCAAGTGGTAAGTAAGACGAGGCCGGGATAATTAAGTTAAATGGCATGGGTGTTTCGAGCAATCGTGTGCACTGTGTGCATTGTGTTTAAGAGGCTTAGCACAGCACATCTGAGGCACACCCTCTCCTAATCTTTTTGTTGACTTTTGGCAAATGATGCCTTATATAGGGTATATTACAGAAGGTGTGTGGATGTTTTTAAAAAGATAGTGTTTGGGTTT